GGTACAAGGCATGCTCCATAAAGTGACTGTTGCATATGCAGAAGAACAGTGCAACAACTTTAACTGGTGTAGGGAGTTGACTTGTACTATCACCGGAGGAACTGATAGTCATATGTTCCCTCTGCCGTTTCTTTGACTGAACATGTTGGAACTTGTGCCAGACACGAGACTTGTTGTTCTTGAGCACTTTGAAAAAGTGTAACAGGTTCCCAATCTGGTTCTCACATGAAGTTTGTTAGATCATCAAAATATAAAAAGACACGTAACTTAACAGGAACAAAAGAACTAATTACAGTCGATACTGGCCTCTTCAAATGTACAGTCAGCGGATTGTGGGCTTAGTACATTGTCATTCCTCTGAGAATTTTGCGGTTAAGAGTTCTCAATATGTCACCAGCAATTCTTTGACAAATTACCATTCATGGTTATGAACATAACAATCTGAAAGCTGAACAAAATAATGTCTTGGTAATTATTTGACTTATCAAAAACATAAAATAGTGTCTTGGTTACTATCATCACATCATTACCTGCTAAGTTAGAACTCGGTGTTAATGGCTTGTCTACTTTCCAGAAAATTTGAACAGGAAACTATTTAGAAACTAAACTGTTCCCCATATTAGTGTATATTGGATTGTGTGTGAGATCATAGAGAGAGCACAGATGGCTACTGAGAGAAAAGAACAAAGGTTTCTTTGCGCTTCTATTAATTACAATGAGAAGAAAGTAGAATACCAACTACTTACAGTATGGGGGAGGTAATATTTAGAAGATTGCTAGGGGCATGGTGAAAATTTGGACTGCGCTTTTCACAGCTTCAACATCGATATCTACCAATTTTCCTGTCTTTGATGAAATGGTTGCACATTTCTTTTCTTCTGCATTGGGAACAAAACTTCTGGCCTTATCCTCAGAACAGAATAGCCCAACACTGCACAGAGAAAACCAATACAGATTTCAGACATGGTTTCATGCCCCCGCAAAAAAGGTAAAATAGATACTCCCTCATTTTTTTATTTAGATGACATAGTTTGACTTGGTATAAAGTTACAAAAAAAAAAAAGTTTTTTAAAACATGTGGTCCTAAAAAATTAAGGGGCGAAAATTTTGTGGGACCACGACATTTGTAAAATGAAAAGTTTAAAGTTGAATTGTTTTCAAATATAGAAATATGTTGTTCTTTTAAATTGAAACAGACGGAGTAGTAAATATAAGTCAAGTGTATCAACCACCCACAAAGACAACAAAAGGTGCAAAAAATTTGCCAGTTACAGCTTGTAATACATGACATTACCTTGGCTTTCCACGCGCATGAGCAAGTTGTATGGCAGCTGTATTTGTAGCTATCACTCCAGCAGAGTCATCAATAAGAGCAGCAAGCTAGGTCAGAGAAATTTGTGTAACACTGTTAGTTGCTTGTGCTCATGTTGCTATCTCCTTCTAAAATTCGTTACTACTATGTTTCAGTACGTTCATGTGGAAAGGGCATATATATAAAGTTGCCAGTAATAAACATGCAACAGAAGCAGACTATATTTCATTTGACTATCCCCTCTGCTATAGTATAAGGTAAATTGTCACCATTATATATCTGGCTCCAACAATTTCTCTGTTTATGGTTTTTCAACCACTGGTGTATCAGTCGATGAAAATATGATATCATGATCTGGCAGAGAAAACAAACCTGTCCAGGAGTGGTTATGAACACTATACTAGCATCTAAACCAACTGCATCTTCCACATTTTCTCTTTCTTTCTCATGGGGAATGACAAAAACCGGCTTAATTCCCCTGATATAGTTTGCTGTTCATTAGTATATCTCACAAAATTTCTTGCATTTGACAAAAAAGACTAACCAGCTTTCCGACAAACACAGAAATCATACCTAATCTCTTCTGCTATCTCGGCCCAAATCTCAACTGGAAGCAAGCTATCAGCATCGCCCCTCGACTGCATAGAAGCTTTGGAATCTGATTTTATCCCATGAATTACAATATATTTTCCTCTCTGTGCACCAGCATTCTTATATTTTGCCTCTACAACATCCCTAATCTTTCTTGAGATTGAAATTTTAAGTGGGGGTAAAGGTTGTCGTGGTACTTTACGAGCTGGTCTGCCTAACCAATCAACCATCTGACGATACCTATTGTCATAAAAGTGTGTCTGTAAACGTGTGATATATATATGCAAAACCAAAATTTCAGTTGAAACGTCCACTTACATATGGTATCCGCCATCGGAAAGATTCATGCTTTCTGGTGTAAAAGTTTCTGATAGAAATAATCCTGCTCCTGCAGAATTCACATTTGGGTAAATATAGCTAACTCTGTCGCGGGCAGTTGACATAAACAAGAATACTGCATGTCCAATCCCTGCCAGTTTGGTTGACAAGATCATATCATAGTACCTACTCTGCAATAAACCATGTATTAGAGCAAAATAACTTAGCAAATATATAAATTCTCTATTCATAATGCAGGTAGCTTGAAGCTGATATGCAGAACAGTAAATTTTTATCTCCATTTGACTAGAAAAAGTGATTAATAATTTAATATCTTGAAGTTAGTGTAAGCAATTATTTAATTTCCAAACACGGTTTGCTCGACTTCACAAGCCTTTTCCAGGCAAATCTTAAAAGTCAGAAAGGTAGTTTAAAGTAGATTATTATAGGTGCAATTATATTAGGTCCAAGGAGATCATTAGCTACACAATTAAGAAAAGAACTTCAGTAGTATACACCGACTAGTGTAAGTATTTACACAATCAAGTCACCGATAAGATAATTACACGTAAATCTTTATACCTGGCCAAGTGGCTTAGTGTTTGATGTTTCTCTAAGTTTAGGGGCAGTGTGTTAATTACATTACATATATCAAGATATAGCAAGAATCAGATATCGAAGGCAAAAATTTGTTTAATTAATGATCTGTTATGGCAGAATGGCACGGCAAACCTTAAGAATTCCAACCATATCTGTGTACTCTGCAGGTTCAGGGAAATCATCATCCAAATCATAGGCATTAGCCCACCTCACATTTTTGTTCAGCTCAAAAGTCTGTTTTCCCCTAGGCGTTGCTAAGATATCCACTTGAACGCCAGGGTACCTATCCTTAATCATCTGAATTGTTGGGAAAAACAGCAAATTCTCATAAACTCCTCCATCAATTACACAACAACATCTCCTAACATCACCTCTAATTTTCAAACCCAAAGAAGCAATTTCGACAGAGTATCCCATTGGGAATTTGAGGAATCCGTATGGATTATCGGGATTATCAGGTGGCCTTGGATCCTCATCTTGTTTACCATCAGAAAAAAGTGAACCATACTCCATTTCAGGGTCCTCACCATAGTCAAAAGGGTCAAGCCATGGATTTTTCTTCTTAGCATTGGGCCGAAAACTCCCTGATTTTCTGGCACAAAATGTGTTATCCAATGGATTTTTAATCAAGAAAGGTACATTTGTGACATGGGTTATAGGAAAAGAAGGTGGGCTAGTAAGAAAATGAGAAATGAACTTAGGCATTAGACTAGTTGTAGCCATTTGAGTGTATCATAAAATTCTGCAATAATTTTGGGATAGGAAGTGCTTTTGTTACTAAAAACTATAGCAGAATAGCAGAAGCTGACGTTGGATTTATGAATGTGTGAAGGGTGTTGGATAAGTAGGTCCCAATGTTTCCCTTTGTTCTTGTCTTGTTTTCTACTTCTGGTAGTAAAATACAAAGTGCTAGCAAATACTATATTCATAGGGAGAATCAGTTACAGGTTTCCTATAAAAAGATTGCTTAAGATGCAATTAAGGAAAAAGATGCATGAAAAGGAAAGAACTCCTCTACCAATAGTCAAAAAAGCAAGATTAGAAAAAGAGTCAATGATGAGATCAAAAGGAAGAAAAGATTACATACAGGGAGAGAGACGAGATCTTAAAAGGGAAAAAGTAAATTCTTACGCTTTGTTTTATTCACTAACTAGCTTGGAAGTAGTCTCTCATCTTTTGACTTTAAGGTAACCTCTTTTATGAATCAGAACCGTTCTTTTTGGTAGTATAGTTTCCTCTTTATAATCTTAATTAATATATGAAGATGTTCATGAAACTAAAGTTGTACTCAAACTTCCATTTATAACTTATACATCACTCATTTATAATGTAACAGTGCTCTAGTAGTGCTTAACTAAAACTAGCCTTACTAACTTCTAATACTTCAAACTTAGAGATTGAGGGTTGGTCGATACTCAAACCCAATTATCAAATCAAAATATATCTCACATTTTTTTTAACGTGTCATGGAGCAACTATTATCAGAAAGTTTAATTCTAAACTCTTATGTATTCTAAACTCTTATAAGAAAGTTTAATTCTAAACTCTCGACAAGGTGGGTTTGCTCTGATGGTAAGTACCCTCCATTTCCAACTAAGAGGTTGTGAGTTTGAGTCACCCCAAGAGCAAAGTGGGGAGTTTTTGGAGGGAAGGATGCCGAGTTTCATTTGGAAACCGCCTCTCTACCTCAAGGTAGGGATAAAATCAATAATCAAACACCACATCTAGTTTCTTACTTATCCTAACTTAAGTTTTTAGTTGGTGATTCCCCTTGTTTCCTTTTCCTTTTTTTGGTTTCAAATTAGTCCAATAATGGTAGTATAAAAAATACTACATTTTAAGGGTTAGTTGTTAGTATCTGCTTTTTGATTCTAAATTTTGTAGTCTACGTAATATTTTCTTATTCTTCAAAGTATATTACTCTAGTTTATAAAACCAGTAAAATATTGTTAGATTGTAAATAATTTGCCCTTCAATTAAGTAAAAAAAAACATAAGTAAATTTAGAAATAATAATTCAAGAAGAGAAAAGAAAAAAGAGCACAAAAAGAAAGTACAAATATTTAATACGTGGCAAAAGATAAGTGGTGGCTTTTGTTGATCACGCTTAAATGAAAATGAAGAAAGAGCCGTAGTAATATTGTCTCTCTCTCTAGAAACATCCTTAAAGAAGNACTCTCTAGGGTTCTTATTCTCTACCTTCCGGTCCACAACAATTACAATGCACCTTCTTTTTCCCTTCACTGTTTTTGCTCTCACAGCAGTCCAACCCTAGCATATTTGAAATTCTAGTTTCTTCGAAATTCTAGAGCTGTAATTGCTTCAATGTCTGGAGGTCCTAGGGTTAAATCGATGAACCATGCTGATTCCGAGGTGCGACCAGTACTCGGGCCGGCGGGTAATAAGGCCAGATCCGTTGAATTACGAAAGCCCACTGAGAAGCCCATTAAGACTAACAACAAGCCAGCTGAGACTGAAGAGTCTAAGGGCAAGAAATTTCAAGGAGCTGATCCGTTGCCGCAATCAAAGTCGCCGGTGGCTGCTTCGAAGAAATGTGGGAGTGTTCCTTCTATTTTGAGACAGCAACAGGACCATAGGACTTTGCTGATGAGGCCTAATTTATCGCTCAATGCCTCGTGTTCCTCTGATGCTTCGACGGACTCTTCTCATAGCCGAGCATCCACGGGGAAATTGAGCCGGGGTAGTTTGACGCCAAAGTCTGGACGAAGGAAGCAATGCAGCCCGAAAGTAGACAAGTCTGAGAAAAGTGGAAAATCTGTTGGTGAAGTGGAGAGCTTGTCTCCCAGTCCCGTCAGTGGTGATGCTTCAGTGATAAAGAAAAGGTGTGCTTGGGTGACCCCAACTACTGGTATGTCCACTTCTATAATGTTGCAATTTCATTTGCTGAATATGTCTTTTTACAGTGTTTTTTAAAAGGCAAAGGCACTGTTAAGTGTATTACATAACTGTCTTTTTCTTAAGTGTCTTATATAATTTTGGGATAGCATTTCGGACGCTGGTGTTCTTGGTTCATCTATAAGTCCTTCTAGTTAATCCACTAGCAGCAGAAAATGGAAATTTGTAGGTCTTTGCTAGAATATGAATATCCATCTTTAAATGTATGTAGATGGGGCTTGGATTTTTTTACTTTATTGGGACGCAAAACAATGGACTGAATAGTTCAGTCACATTTCAAAGCTGGGCTAGTTCTGCATTCAGCTGAGTTCAGGAGACCCATTCGACTTCTGAGTATTAGCTAACTCATTGATCTCATTTTGAAAAGCCTTGTGCCCTCAAGCTGTCATATTTCAAGCCTGCTATCATCTGAGTTATATAGTGCTAGGCTGTTGGATACCAGCTAGATTTCTTGTCCATCTAGATAAATGCTTGTTTTTGATTGATGTAGCTGTTACATCTATTATATCCTAACCTAATCTAGTATTAATGCTCCTACAAATTATGATTATCTTCATGGTTACTATTTACGTATTGGATAATGTTACCTGTTCCACGAAGCTGATATTTTATATGAGTTGAATCCCCAACTACATCCTGATCCGAATTCTTTGGATAAGACTTTCCTTTGAGTTATGGGAAATCTGCTAATTTATTGACTGTTAATCTTGTAGATGCTTTCCAGTATCCTTTACCACCTAACACAAATTAATGTGAGTAAATATGCTTATCTCTGACAGCTTGTACTAAGTCTTTTCCAACTATCCTTTTCTTGTGTTCCTGTAGTTGGAATTTAATTCCATACCCTTTTCCAACTTTCTTTTTTTCTTGAGTTAGACCCTTGTGGTCCGGCCCTTCCCGGACCCCGCGCATAGCGGGAGCATAGTGCACCGGGCTGCCTTTTTTTTTTTTTTTCCTTGAAGTTGGAATTTAATTCCATTCCTGGTGTTGCTTGAGGCAATGAAGAGGAGCAATTGACCTAGTATGGAAAGAAGGTAAAAGCAATTCTAAACTAGTAGCATACGCCTGTTCAGGAAGTCGCTTAAGTTTCATGTTTTTTTATGATGAACAAACAAGGTAAAAGAATGGTCAAAAGAGTGAAATTTCTCCATCATTAATTGGGAAGTCATCTGTATAAGGCATTTCCTAAGATGCCTCATATGCCTAATGAGTGTCCGAGCTGTAAACTTGACTTCCTTAGGCATTAAAAGAGGATCGTCTTGTATTAGCTGAGCAGTCTTGTAGACATGATTTACTAGGTGTGCATGCTTCTCTAAGTGCCCCCTCATGGCTCTTTATTAGATGCCAGTCTTATCTAACTGACCAATGGCTTTGTGAATTCTTCTGAAGTAACTAGTGGTGTGTTCTTAGTTATGATGTGTGTCTTATTACTAATTATTACATAGAGTAGCTGGGCTGTTGGCTAGAAGGATGTTTGACAGGTGCGAGCACATGTATGCTCATCTGTGAGGTTCTATGTACAAGTTTGAGGAGAATAAACCTTTTCACTGAACAACTTCGAGGGCAAGTGCCAAAAGCTGGGGAAAACTTTCATTAACTAGTTTGTAAACTAGCCTCAAAATCTATTGATCCATGCAAGTTGAGCACTTCTCTTTTACCATTTGGTTGTAGGTCCCATGTTTACAGTGTATTTATGATGCATGAATACTAGTAATATGCATGGTTGTATAATTTATACATTAGCATCATTCTATTAAACCACATCTCCGGCATCTTATTTAACAGGCTTTTCCCTTCTTTGCTAATTGTCTTTCTCTCTCTTTTTCTTGTCAACATTGATATGAAATCAAACATGGTCAGACTCATGCATGGTCAGTCACTTTAGTTTCCAGACATCAAGGACATGAGCCCATCACTCCTCTGATAATGTTTGATTTTTTTTCTCTAACAATATTAAACATGGTCAGAGGAGTGACGGGTTATGTCCTTGATGTCGGGAAATTTAAGTGGCTGGCCATGCATGAGCTCTGAAACATAATCATTTTGAAGTGTTATTAAACCATCCCTGGAAAATATCTCTACTTTAGTCTTTGTGGCAACCTTAGCTGCTGTCTTGGCCCCTTCGATATATATAAAATCCTTGGGCTGGGCCAGAACCTTCATTGCCGTGATCGCGAAACCTTAGACACGATAGCAGTATAACTGAGTTTGGGCTTCCTCTGTTGCGCCGCTATCAGTGAAGCCCCCTCCGCGGTAGATGTATAGGATTCTCATTTGCCACTTCTCCTCCCATGGTGTTTGAGTTTACCGCCTATTTTGTGATGTAACGAGTCATTCCTATACCTTTCCCCTAATGATGAGATTTGGGGTTTAAAGATGGAAAAATATGGTAGTATTATTGTTTACCTTTCTCAAAAAGAATAAACTGAAATAAAAAAGAAGCACAATAGTATCCAAAAACAAAAAAGAAACAGAAGCGACAGAAGTGTTATGATATGATCATTTTTGGGTACACTATTAACTGTGACCTGATGAGGGGAAGAATTATTGTAGGATTATTTTCCCCTTCACTGGGCTTAAGAACTAACGAATAAAATTAGGAAAGGTCAAAGTGTTCGGTACGGAACCTGATGCCGAATAAGTATGTAGTGCATGCAAAACTGAAAGTTTGTGTACGTCTCTATTCCATTTTGTCGCACACAAATGATGTTCTGTGATCTTGCTCTCTAGCTGGATTTTACTTTTGTTCTTCTAATCCTACATTGAGAAACAAGTAGCAAGTCTACCAACAAGTTGATCAGGGTAAATTTTTCCATTTTCGTGCTGGATTCTAAGCAAAGGATCCATATAGGTTCCCTCTCAATGGTTTAGTAGCCATTCCTTTTTGGTCTTGGTTAACTCCCTGTTCTAGAAAGGTTTGTTTTTGTATTAGGAGTTAACCAAGTTTTCGCATGTATCTATTTTGCATCTTCTTGATGCCTTTAATGCAATACCTTACTTCATTAAAAAAAAAGGGATCCATATAGGTTTATTATTTGTCAGGAGTCCTATTCTGGTAGTATATGTTTGTGACAGGAGGCCTAATTTTTCCCTTAAAGGCAAATTATTTGGTAGTGGAATAAAATGGGTTGAATAGAGCGGAAATGAGACAGAAGACACATATAGCTAATTCTAGTAAGTCTGCGATTGAGGGTTAGTTCGTTGTTTGTGATGGATTCTGTTATTGATCCAGTTTTAGAATTTGCCATTATATTGGTTCGTCCCTTTGCAGGATATATTATTGTTATAAATGTAGATGTTACATTCTTATTAGTTCCCTCTGCTAATTGGTTTCATTTTGTTAAAAGATCCATCATATGCTGCGTTTCATGATGAGGAATGGGGAGTTCCAGTCCATGACGACAAGTGCGTACTCGTACTTTATGTTTTCTTATTCTTCTGCATCTTGCAATGACAAGGCAATTTCATGTGATGGTCTTCTCAGTCTGAGTTACTGCTTTTTTACAGGAAACTTTTTGAACTTCTCAGTCTATGCACTGCATTAGCTGAACTCTCATGGCCAGCAATTCTCAGTAAAAGGCATACGTTTAGGTACAGGTACATTAAGCTTTGCACCAGTGCTTTGGAGTACCAGAACATGGGTTATTGTTTCATATCTGGTTGCCTTACAAAAGCTGGAACTATTTGTTATGCAGAGAAGTCTTTCAAAATTTTGACCCAGTTGCAGTCTCAAAACTAAATGAGAAGAAGATAGCACCACCAGGAAGCCCTGCCAGCACTCTCTTATCAGAGGTTAAGCTGCGGGCAATTGTTGAAAATGCACGCCAAACCTGTAAGGTATGTGCAAAGTTTTCTCTCTTACTGGGTTGTCCTTGTCTTGAAGAAGAATTTGTCCTGGCTAGGATAAAAACCTATAGAAGTTTACTCAGTGCTTGGCTCATGGACTTTCATTTTCTTCATTAGTCGAAATACTTAGATAATTCCACCAAGATGGCTGTCAATTTTACAAAAGTAATAGGAGGCTTTGGGACCCTCGTTAGATAATGAAAAAAGATAACAACAGGAAATTGCTTCTTCGCCGCAAATAAATTAGAGCTCAATAGTTTTCGAGTTAATTGGTCTACGTTTATTGTATCAGCTGTCTTGAGCAGAAAGTATAATTCTGCTTCCCAGAAAACTGATGGTTTCTGTACTTGGTGCAAAATTTTCAAAATAGTTGGCAGCTGCATGTGATATGCTGTTAAAGTCAGAAACTACAGATATGATGTGATTATGAAATATAAGGCATTAGCTGTGTTTTTAATAGGTGCGGTATTCTAGAAGCTGGGTATATTAAATAACAAAGAGCTTCTGAAAGGAGAAAGAGAAACGATATTTCTCAAATTTTTTTTTTTCTTTTAAAAGTTAGGGTTTAGGAGTATGAGGGTCAAATCATTAATTTTTTTGTGTGAATTTGGATAGCGGCTTTTATTTAGTTCTTTTGAAATAGGAACTATATACTTTAGACTACATAAAAGTAGTCTAAATCATAATTTGTCTTTAAAATATTGAAGTAAAATCCATATTGGGCTCCTCAATATAACAGCGTCAGTGAGTAGTAGTTGTTACTTGGAAACAATTTTTGATGCCATGCCCTTGTTATCCTCTCAGATAATCGATGAGCTTGGATCTTTCGACAAATACATATGGGGTTTTGTGAACAACAAACCTATAGTTAGTCAGTTCCGATATGCAAGGCAGGTGCCAATGAAGACATCAAAAGCAGAAGGGATAAGCAAAGACCTAGTTAAAAGAGGATTCAGAGGAGTCGGGCCTACTGTTGTGTACTCGTTCATGCAAGTAGCTGGAATTACAAACGACCATCTCATTAGTTGCTTCAGATTTCATGATTGTGTAGCTGCAATTGATGGAATGGAGAACGATGATGGCCTTGCGGCTAAGACTGAAGTGAAACAACAACTCAAGGATGAAACAGAAATGGGTCTTATAAGAGCTATTGATGACTTCAATTTATCCACATAGTGAATTATGTCAAAGTAGTGATATGTAATTTATACTACTAGTAGTAGATTTGGTGGCTTTGCGCGCCCTTGTTTGCGATACAGTTGAAAGGGCGGCAAGTGCTTGTGTATAAATGACCTTGCTATTTATTTTTTCCCGTTGCTGTGTACATCTCAGACTGTAAACTGTTTGCAGCTGAAGGGGAGGGGGGAGATGATGAAATTTAACAGGAATTAGCGACGGCTGTGTATACAATTTGATCAAAAAAAATAATGATGTCACAGGCCTAGGCAAAACTGGGCAAGGTGGAGTAGGTTTTAAGGGAGAAAATTTAAGGTGGCAGGGCAAGAATGTGGCTAATCATCCAGCGTTCCAGGTTAAGAAATTACATTTGAAAAAGAACAACGAAAAATACATAGATTACATTAAAATACTAGCTTAGGAAATGGTGGTTGACTAATACTTTTCTACATTTTATGTTACTATATATATATGCTGTCTCTATATTTGGTTTGTTTCTAACTTAATAGCTTTCTGTTCCGCCACCAGAAGAGATCACAAAGTTAATACATTAAAGAAGCGGTTTCCATCTTTTTAAATAGAATGTAAAAATTGAAACAATATTTATATGGTAATGACACACCGTGGTTGTCATTTGTTTTTTTTTTTGGTTTCTCACCGAATGTCAGGAATTAACTTTGCAGGTTTGAAAATCAACTGAAATTGGCGCTGATATTAACATTTAAAAACTAGGCGAGTAGCATAAGCTATTTTTGTTTTAGTCTTGCCATGACACTGAATTATAATAATCCTTAGCTCGCGTCGCGGTACTTATGCTCCCAAAATCTCTCCTTTTTCTCACAATTTTATTACAGATAAGTAACTTCTCCTCCTCACGTGTGGTCTTTTCTGCCTTTGACTTCAACATGGCCTGAATTTTTGGACTTTCGTCAAAGTGAACAGAAAACGAAAAGAAAAATACATACATAACAAACTAGTTAAATCTCATTCTATTACTTGCAAAAGAATATCTACACGATCCAATAATTTAAGAGCTAACCGCAGATAATGTGCACAGCATGTTTTCGTAACGTGAAAATAAATGAATAACATGTTAAGAGTCGATCAAAAAACCAGGCAGTTATAAAAAATTAAATTCATACCAAATATAGCAATTCAAATCGGATCAAGTATAGAATTTTAAACCTTATTTCGTATATTGCAGGAATAACCGAATTCAACAACGATAATCTAACCAATTTTGGCTGCCATGGAAAATTAGCCCAAATCAAGATCCCATTTCCACGTGCACCTTCCTAGTCCAACCTACTGTTTCCCAAAGAGACAATAACAGTATTTACATTTTACAACATCTTCTAGTGGGTTTTTCTCTGGAACCTTTCAATGAATCAACGTGATGAAAACATTGAAAAACTGTCGACCAATCATCAATAATAAGGTTTGGTTTATTTAATCATTTATTTATCTGTCTGATTATTTGGTAGGAATTTTCCCGAAATAGCGGCAGCTAAGGCTGCTTGAAAACTTGGATCTTTTGTCAAGGAAGAAGCCATTTGTTCAATCAAGAAGTGTTGGAATTCTGGTCTATTTTGATGATTATCACCTCCTCCTAATGATGATTTGCGCTTATTATGTCCACCTGCAGTACTAGTACTTGTACTGCTAGCCACTTTCTTTTCGTCAATTTGTAACGTGTTTTTGGGTTCTGTAAGATCAAGAATAATGTTTGGTCCTGAGCTGTTGAGAGTGTTGGAACATGGCACTGAAGCAGTAACCCCAAGAGTACTCTTCCCGTTTAAACGGTTACAAGGGGAAGTTGTAACGGCGTTTGCAGCATCCGTTTTAGAGGGATGTGAATGGTTGTGTTCTCCTTCATATGTTGCCACCAGAATAGACTGATCTTCTACGCTTCGTTGCACCTATTAAATTAACACCAGACAACTCATTGTTAGAAGAAGAATTGAAGATTTAGAGTTAGTTAATGAAATCAAAATGAGTGTAATTTTATCGTCTGTGTACATTTTAAATGCTTTTTCATATGTATAGGTTTCAAATTGAAATAATAAGTTAAGGTTCTAAATTTGCCACTGAGGTTGGGCCACCAAATTTTATACAATCTATAAAATATCTGGAAGTAGCTACTACAACTAAGAAATTTCAAGGAAAGTCGGGCTAGCTAATTAATAACTCCTACTTGCCGAGTTGTTTCCTAGTCGATAAAGACATGAGATATCTTTTCAACACACTTAGTTTAACCGTACGTCAGGAAGAATCAATTTACAATCAAAGAAATAATAATTTTGTCATATGCATCCTAAAGAAGCTATATATTGATATTATTTTTGCTTTTCGACTTACATATTAGACCTTAATCAATTTTTTTTTCAGCACTGGTTTTGAGGTACATATTAATTCCATGAAGCTAGATCACATAAAATGAGAATTTAATTGTTCAGAATGCGTAGATTTAGTTGCTGTTATGGTCGATCATACGGTTACGGATTCAAGCCGTGAAAACAATTTATTGCAGAAATACAGGATAAGACTGCATACAATAAACCCTCGTGGTCCGGCACTCTCCGAACCCCGCACCTAAATGGAGCTTAGTGCATCGAGTTGACTTTTTAGAATGCTTAGATTTGTTTGGGGGTCTGAAGATTAAAGTACCTTCTTTTTGACGAGGCAGGTAGGAGCAAAAGAACACTTGAAATAAGCTCTTGGAGATGGGTTGTCTCTTGTTACTTTCTGACCATATTTCCTCCATTGATATCCATCCTTCACAATCTGCAAAAATATTAATGAATATTGCTTTGAGTACTCATTAGAAATCGAAAACATCAAATTAAATAGATGATGATCAAGAACGTAATATTCATAGTGTTGGGAACTTACAAGAGAAGTATCAGATGCTTCAGTTCTCACATAAACTCTAGTTGTCTTAGTTTTAATGTGCTCTTCTCTTGGTTTCTTTGTACAAGAGTTGTCTTCATCACTTGAGCTACTCTCTCCTTGAACTGATTTCAATATTTCATTGTTTTCAGCTTTTGATCTTTTCTTTGATCCAGCGCTATGATCATCAGCTGAAGTAGTAGTAGCAGTAGTAGTACTGTGCTTGTTCATATACTCCGTCACTTGGTTTCTCAATGCATTGTAATTTTGGCACATCACTGTTAACATCTCCGTCAGCTTCTTGTTTTCAGCACTTACTCTATTTAGTTCCTCTAACAAATCACTTGCCTGCCGAGACAACACAAAACAAAAGAAAATAAAGAAAATTTGTCATTTTTCAGAACAGTCTAATATTCAAAGCTCATTGTTCCGACTAATCTGAATTCGTGAATAACCTCCCTAAAGGGGAATATCACTTCCCACAAAAAAGTTTTATCTTTCACAATTACTTACTTATCAATTAGTGAATCGAGATGAAGAAAGATTTGGTTTTTTTCTAACTAATCTTAAGCAAGAAAAGTTAACAAAGAGAAGGAAAGAAGAAAAAGATTTTACAAACCTCATCCTTGACTGGCGTGTGATCTATTCCAAGCCCAATAAAATTACTCTCAACTTCTTGTTTCTGAAATCAAATGAAATGACTTAATATTCCAAATTAAACCAATGAATATATATTCATTAAATTAGGGAAATACATGCATGATAATATATTGCAAATTTATCTCATATGCTTACCGGTATTCCATCGGGAACTCGAAGAGGTCTAAAATTCAGATCCAAAGAAGTATCAACTAAACTTGTGAATTCCATTGCTTTTTTAAATTTTCTTCTAAGAAATATCAACTAAAATGATTTCCTCTTTAATCCAGAAACGCTTGCTTTCAAACAGATATCCACTGAATGAATTAGAAGGTTTAAATAGTGCACTTAGGAAGAAGTCTAGAAGACCAAGTTGTAGGAAGGTAAGAAGAAAATCAAGAGAAAAATATAAAAATGTATTCAACTTGAGAGTTGGAAGAATCCTTGGCCTTCTTCCCAGCTTATTTATAGTTGTAAAAATAATAATATATTACAGCAACATATTGGTTGGTATATTCAAGAAAAAAAAATTAAAGTAAGTGAGTTGCTTTTCTTGTCGGCCCATATGATATGTTGAATTTCTTCCTACTAGTCAAAGTCAAGCCTGCCCAACGGAAACTAGAAAGAAACATATCTAATAAGACAAAACAGAAGAAAAAGGAATTAAAAAAAGTGACTTAATTCATCATTATGTTCTTAGTTGGACATATGGGCGGAGGATGGAGGATAGGATAATTGTCTTCATAAATAATAAATACTCCCTGAATAAATAAATAGGTAGAATTTTGATTCAATCTTCCTATCTAATGTTGTCACGTCAGCCGACTTACTTGTTTACTAATTAAAAACCATACTATTTTACTGCTTATAAAAAATGACACTTTATAGCTACTGTAAAATTAATAATTACCGAAAATATATATATAATTTATAATTTTTTTTGTATATATATATTTTTTATATTATATACAAATATTATATAAATTTTATATATTTTTCGACTATCAAATATAAATAGTTTCTTATGCAGACTAAAAGTGATAATAACACTATTTAAGTGGGGGTATTGTGGGCTTTACATTCCTGTCACGTTTGCAATAACATTTTCCACGTTATCTAATACTCTCTCCGTTTCAATTTATGTGAACTCATTTGACTAGGCACGAAGTTTAAGAAAAAAGAGAAGACTTTTGAACTTGTGGTATAAAATGAGGCACATATATTTTGTGTGGCTATAAATCATTGCATAAAGATAAATTATTTCCAAATATGGAAAGAGGTCATTCTTTTTTGCACAAACTAAAAAGGAAATAGGTTCACATAAATTGAAACGAAGGGAGTATTATTTAAAGTGTAAACCCACCCGTCCCACACACATCCACACCCCCAAGAATAGGATATACCAATTCATCAATTTATCTTTAAAATACGCGTTCTATATGTGTATCTCAGAACTTTTAGTCAAAATTGTCCATTATGTTTGGGGTAAGTTTAACTTTGTCCTTTATCTATTGCCCTAAACACTTATTGTCCTTTAAGTTTGCTAAACTTGAGCAGGTTTAGTCCACTTAAGAGTTTTTAGCCAAAATTATCCCTTATTTTAGGGGTAAATTTGACTTTGTCC